TTTTTCAAAAAGAGATTTTATTTATATATATATATATATATATATATATTCTACTTTTTTCATTTATATATATATATATATATTAATGAAAAAAGTAGAAAACTTTACGTGTTTTCGGTGACATTTGATAGCCGGACCAAAACCGGAAAAGGCTTGGCCTAGTGACGAAAGGGATGTTTTGCTAACGTGTAGCCACAGTAGGCTAACTTTGTCTAACAGTTCGCTTCTTACTCTAAACCCCCCTCTGAAGTGAAGGCTCTTCGGAATATTTTAACATAAATGTGAATCTTTTTCAACATTTTTTTCAAAGCGAGACATGAACGGGAGTACGAACCCGCTGCTGGACAAAGAGGAGCACGTCCTGAAGCTCGGAGAGAGCTTTGAGAAGAGGCCGAAATCTTCCTTCCACACAATCCGATGTGAGTGTGACATCATTAGGGCAATAAGCAACGAGTGTTGCATTGACTGCTGTGTGGGATTAGCTCGCTCACGTGAACGGAGAGGCTGCTCTCTTTAAATAACTCAGCCAATTATGTGGTCGCCTTAAATTCACTCATTTGCATAAAGACTATCGTTACACCCACTGGTCCATCTCATCCACCACACCATCAATTGGAACAAGTTATCTGTTACTTCCTCCTCCTCTCCCTCCTCCTCTCCCTCCACCTCCTCCTCCTCACTCCTCAGTTGTTTGTGAGTTAGTTTCATTCTTACAGAAAATGAAGAAAGGTCTCACGCTTGCTGCACACAAAAACTTTATTTAAACATTGTAAGTTTAAGAGCGATCAATTTGTGATTAACTTATTAATCACAAGCTCTACACACTGAACAATGTTGTGCAGGGAAACAGAATTCGGACATCTTTAAAAAGTTATAATAACTTTATAGACTTCTGTCTTGTGTCCTTTGTTTTTCCAGATGACTTCAAACCAGCGTCCATCGACACGAGCTGTGAGGGAGAGCTGCAGGTCGGGAAAGGAGACGAAGTCACCATCACGTTACCTCACATTCCGGTCAGGCTCTGTGGTTCTCCTCTGGTTCTGTATCTGACTCTCTGTGGTTCTCCTCTGGTTCTGTATCTGACTCTCTGTGGTTCTCCTCTGGTTCTGTATCAGACGCTCTGTGGTTCTCCTCTGGTTCTGTATCAGACGCTCTGTGGTTGTGTTTGTTTTGTGATTTAAAGAACGTAACAGACATGAGATACTCAGGTGACGGTTGCTCCTGCAGGGCTCCACTCCTCCCATGACGGTGTTCAAAGGAAACAAGCGGCCGTACCAGAAGGACTGCGTGCTCATCATTAACCACGACACCGGGGAGTTCGTGTTGGAGAAGCTGAGCAGCAGCATCCAAGTGAAGAAAACCAGGTCAGGGGTCAGAGGTCAGAGGTCTCACAGGGGAACAAATATTTTATTAATCTCAAACCAATTGTGTTTTGTTTTTTTACCGTGTTTGCGTGTGTGTGTCTGTGTCTGTGTGTGCGTGTGTGTGTCTGTGTGTGTGTTTCAGGGCGGAGGGCAGCAGTAAGATCCAGGCGCGGATCGAGCAGCAGTCGGTCCGGTCCAGTCAGCCCAGCTCTCAGTTCCGGGCCCCCACTAAGCCCGGGGCCAAGACCTCCCCGTCTCCCTCTAAAGACGACCCGTCGCCGGAGCCTCAGCTCGATGACATCAAGAGAGGTACGGAGGTCCAGACGTAAAGACGACACGGGGAACAAAGAACATATAGTTTATTAGATAATACTTAACTGTTCAGCATTCATAAGCACGTTATGAACGTCTGTCAGCGGGCATAAGGATACTTTAAAGTGTTTATGAATGTATGAATATACGGATGAACGGATGAGGAAGGAAGAGATTTAACATAATCAAACTGTTGCTGCTGGCAGAGCTGCGAGCGGAGGTGGAGGTGATCGAGCAGATGAGCAGCAGCAGCTCCTCGGACTCGGGCAGCGCCTCGGGGAGCGGAGACGACAGCAGCAGCGACGGCGAGCGGGACGCCCCCCCCCCCCGACCGCTCAGCCAGACGTCCCCCAACCGCCAACCGGCGTTCAACGGGGGAGCCGAGCGGCAGCCGGGCAACAACCAGCTCATGAACACGCTCCGTGAGTACCTCCGAGTTCTGCTGCTCTTTACACGATACGGTGAGACTCCACAGGCTCAACGGTGGGTTTCTTCATAACGCGTTGAACACATGAACGCTGCTCCGGCTGAAGACGGACGTTGAGATTCATCTTGAGTTCTGTGAGTCTGTTAGAATAAAACAAACGATGTTCTGACCTCAGTTATCTTCACAGGAAACGATCTTCAGCTCAGTGAGTCGGGCAGCGACAGTGATGACGACTGAAGTCTCTGCTGGTCTGATCTCTTCCTCCTCCTCCTCCTCTTCCTCCTCCTGCCCTCCTTCCTGTGATTGCTGACTTCAGCTGTCCGTCATGTTCTGTTTGTACTTTTTGATTCTATTATTTTTAGCATCTCTTCCATTCTGGAACTTTAAGAGTGTATTTTGTATTAGATGTATATTTAGTTTTTGTATAGTGAGATGTTTACTTCAGAGGTTTTGGGAAGATTATATATATATA